ATTTTTTCAAGGACTTGGGATTTAGGAATCTAGGGAATTTAGGGATTTGGAAAATTTAGAAAATTTCATCGAAGGTTTGAGATTTAAGAATTTGGGAAATTTGGGGATTTGGAAAAATTTAGAAAATTTTTTCAAGGACTTGGGATTTAGGAATTTGGGGAATTTAGTGTTTGGGATTTGAGAATCTGGGGAATTTAGGGATTTGAAATGTGAGAATCTGGGGAATTTAGGGACTTGGAAAATTTAGAAATATTTTTCAAGGACTTGAAATTTAGGAATTTGGGGAATTTAGTGTTTGGGATTTGAGAATCTGGGGAATTTAGGGATTTGAAATGTGAGAATCTGGGGAATTTAGGGACTTGAGAAATTTAGAAATATTTTTGAAGGGCATGGAATTTAGGAATTTGGAAAATTTGGAAATATATCTTAAGAATTTGGGATTTATGAATCTGGGGAATTTAGGGATTTGAAATTTGAGAATCTGGAGAATTTAAGGACGCGAAATTTAGAAATATTTTTCAAGGATTTAGGATTTTGGGGAATTTACTATTTGGGGTTTGTGAATTTGGGGAATTTATAGTTTGGGATTTGTGAATCTAGGGAATTTTGGGATTTGGGAAATTTAGAAATATTTTTTTAGGGATTTGGGATTTATGAATTTGGAGAATTTATTTCTTACAGTTTGAGAATCTAGGATAATTTGAGTTTAGGACTTGAGAATCTAGGGAATTTTTCGATTTGGAAAATTTAGAACTTGAGTTGGAAAATTATAATATTTAGAATTTTGGGAAAATTGCGAAAATTTGGAACCTTGAACATATAATCTAGTGATTCCTAAATTTAAAACTTTTCGACTTCGCTCAAACCTCAAAAATCCTTCATCTAAAACTTCCAAACCTCCTAAATCACTCTCCTAGTATCTCAAATTAAATCAACCTACAACGCGTTAAAAGAGCATCGAGTGCCAAAATCGCGACATCATCCACCTTCTTCAGCGTTTTAACGCCCGCACCTCGTCGTTTCGCACTCCTGACGCAATCGTTCCGTCTCGATAGCCTTTTCCACCATCACCGGTATATACAGGGTGTCCGCGCCAAAGTGTTACACCTTAATATCTCATGAACTATTGATGTCACGAAAAAGTGCTTATATGGAAATTGCAGGGTAAAAGAGGCCCTATGTTTTGGCAGAAGCAAAATTTTTTTATTGTTATTAATGTAAAAGATATGATGGTGAAGTTTCGTTTTTTTAAATGGAACTATAATTTTTTCTCGATCAGGCGATAGTGCTTTTCAAGACGAATTCATCAAGGTTTTGTTTCATTCGTGGGTGACGCAATTTCAAGCCCGTCTATTCGCTCTTTGGTTAGCGAGAGACTACCGAAGCGATAGCAGTGCCAAGTGCATGACAAATTCGTGCGATCTGGAAATCGTTTACGACCACACTCTCTTCGTTCTGCTGAATACAGAGCGGCTGGTCCCTTTGGATTGCACCGTTTCTCGTTCTCCTTTTTTTCCCCTCTTTTCGGAAGAAACGATGGCCTCGGGTTATTGTTTTAAGTAGCACGTAGCTGGCTCGCGCCCGAAACCATTTCCGGCAGCTCTAGAATGCGAATTTCTTGGCTCGGATTGCTGATCGTGTTCTGCTGCGGCTCGAATGGCGACGATGAAGGTGCTAAAAAATAGTTTCGATTTTACCGACATTTTTATCGCGCCTCGCAAATTATCTCGACTGGGAATTCCTGTTCGTTATTTATTCAGAACTTGCTTGATTTACAATTTTAATTATTTATGCGTAGCATCACTATTTTTTATAGAGTGACATGATATAATTTATATGAAGACCTTGATGCAAATTGTGGTTCATTAATATTAGCGAAATCAATTTCATTTTAAACTATTCACAAATTTACATAGAAATTAATTTTTTATTAACAATTAATATTTTGTGACATTATTAAACTGCATATGTTTATGTATTTACATATATGTTTATGTATTTAGGTAAAGTCAACGTGATGTACTTTATGTATGTATGTATGTGGATCATATGTGGATGTATACATATGTGGTTACTTTAATATGTGATCATATGTGGTTACTCTAATATGTGACCATATGTGAATCTATACATGTGTGATTACTCTAATATATGATCATATGTGGATCATATGTGAATATATACATATGTGGTTACTCTAATATGTGGTCATATGTGAATCTATTCATGTGTGGTTACTCTAATATGTGATCATATGTGAATCCATACATATGTGGTTACTCTAATATGTGATCATATGTGTTCGTTTACACACATCTTTACGAAGTCGTAAGGTAACGAATAAAATGAAATACCCCTAAGTGGAGCTAAATTAAGAACACATTTAACTGTTCTCGAATTAGCATTTTCCAGTTGGCCTGTTTGAACATCGTCGATTAACGTTACACCCTTGAACGGAATTTATTTACAGGAAGCAGAACGATTGCCAATTATCGTGGGTTGAGCGTTCGGTTCGATCGATTAAACGTTTAAACACAGGCTGTTTAATCGCAAAAAAGACAGTTCCTTGATCGCTAACGAGCTGCCGCCTGGCAATTATTGACGCGTCAGCGAGGCGACAAAATTTGTTCAGCTGGTCAACCGCATAAACGAGCCTTGAAAATGAAAAAAAAAAAAAAAAATAAAACGAAACAAGTGTTTGCACTGCATTGACAGCGGGTAGCCGCGAACCCCGGGTTTATTTGCGATCGAGCAATCGCGACGAGGTGAAATCGCGATTATTCGCGACGGTGGAAAAAGCATGTTCGATCGAGCAGTCGAACGCAGTCGCATTAATCTGTTTATCGACGTAGCGAACCCTTCACCGGGGTAATTAAAAACGTCCGATCGATCGGACACTCGTGTAACCATTCAGGTGGAAAAAAAGCGATCGAATGTTTCCAACTAAAATGGCAGAGCCCCCGTTGGCGCGACGATTGTACGCGATGCTTTTTCTTTCGCGATACTCGCGCGTCGATTGTTTCGATGCACTTGGGTCGATTTGCTGGCTGAACATCCGTGATGATGGCACGCGTGTTTGCATCTCAATGGGATCATTTCAACGTAGAATTTCAGCTTTCGTACGGGGAAAGTTTTGCTCGCCGATACCACGGCTTTACGCGCGATTGCTTTCCAACCTGCACGCACGTAGCCGACTGTAAATTAATAATCTATCGTTTGCTTCTACGATGCCCGTTTCGAATGCGAACGATACTATTTTCTGTTTACGCGAAAGTGAAATGGTACGTTGATAACTTTTTATTAACGTCATAACGCTTTTCTGATCATCTGTTAACGCGATAATTGCTTGTTTGACTATTTACGACACTGTATCACTTTATGTATTGTGGAGAAATTTTTTGGATAATTCTGGTCATTTGTCAGAGTGTAATACTTGTTTGACAATATTAAATTCATAGTTTGACATGATGTGGGTTGAGAACGATGAAATAAATTAGTATTTATTGGTTGTAGTACGTAGTAACACTTGTCTGACCATTCTGGAGGTTGTATCACTTGATGAGGTGAAGAAGAGTCTATTCTACTTGTCTGACCACTAGTCGCACTACACTACTTGTCTTACCACTAGTGAGCCTATACTACTTATCTTACCACTCCTAAGCCTATACTACTTGTCTGACTACTGAGAGTCTATACTACTTGTTTGATCACTCGTAGGGTTATACTACTTGTCTGACTACTGACGAGGTTATACTACTTGTCTAACCACAGAGGAGATAATACTACTTGTCTTACCACTGATGAACCTATACTACTTGTCTGACCACCGGTGAACTTATACTACTTGTCTTACCACTGAGAGGATTGTACTACTTGTCTGACCACTGATGACACTGTTCTACTATTCTGATAACGTTCTACTTACATGACCATACAGGTTGATATCTATATTTTGACAAGATAATGCGCATTAAAGAAAATATTAGAAAGTAATATTTTTTCATGATATATCAAAAGATAAGCTTATACAACCTATCTCACATATTGTACATGTATACATTAATTAAATCCAATTAAATTCATATTTATCAAAAATAAACAGGGAAAATTCTATAAAAACCACAAGAACAAAAATTAAAACAGCATTCAATTAAAACAAAAAATTAAAAACGTAAAACTGAACCGCACAAGTACACTCGGTTTAACCTAAGCCAGCAGTAAATTCGAGTTAATTGGAGATAAAGGAAATTTCACATTACACACCCGAATTAAATCCAGTTATGCCCTTAAGCGGCTAAAGAGGCCGCATTTTGTAATAATATTTCAGTACTCGGGTACAATTGCCATCATGATACAGTACGCTATTGTTGCCTTGATCCACTGCATATGCAACAATATTACCAGTCTGACTGCACGTTGCGCCGAACGTACGGCTACTTATACTGCTTGCGTGACTAATTAGTTGAACCACGTAGGAAAGTGATCACTTCGGAAGTCGTAACTTACCTATATTGTTAGAAGCAACTATCGTAATCGTTAAACAAACTATGAATGCAACTTCAGGGGATTTTGGCGAACAATCCTTGGGCAAAATTAATCATCAAACCAGATAATTCGTGAGCTAAGTGAAACGTTAATGTGAGTTTATAAGGACTTATAGTCCGCGTTCAAAATTTGCGGCGAAACTCGTTAATTCGGATGCTAAATAAAGTGTTGGGAATTTATGGAGGTAATGCCAAAATTAAAAATCAAACTTTGTTCGGAATAAAATATTAATTCGATATTAAATGAAGTTACTATCATATGAACATTCTTCGCATAATCTAACCTTCACTTCACATGACCTAACGCCTGAACTTCATATCTAACCCCATATGAAACACAACACAAAACAATTTACTACCTACATAGTTTAGCAAGAAGGTTCAACTGTATTTCAAAGTACAAAACATTCGAAAGAGTCCACAGTATTTTTTACATGACATTTTCTTTAATTACAGGAACGAGTCTTCAACTGCTTCGACTGGACGTACCCAGTATAGCAGATCCGAGGTGGGACAAAGTGGTTCTGAGGTGTGAATACGACTTGGGCGGTGAGGATTTGTACTCAGTAAAGTGGTACAAGGACGGATGTGAGTTCTTCAGGTATATGCCTGACTCTAAACCCCCTGGTCGCGAGTTCCCCGTCCCTGGTGTCCACGTCGACCTAAATAAAAGCGACAACAAGCAAGTGACGCTGTTTGGACAGAACAGTCTAATTCGCGCAGGTTGGTTCCGATTTTATTAATATTAAAGTAACTTTAAATTGAAACTTCGCTGCAAGCTTCTTGATGGGGTTGTATATTATGAACGTCACAATTTTTCAATTCTGACGTTTATAAATTTTCATGGATGTATGACCACTCGTGGACTGTACTACTTGTCTGACTGGTGACGAGAGTATACTACTCGTCTGACCAGTGGTGAGGCTGTACTACTTGTCTAACTACTGACGAGACTACAGTATTTGTCTTACCAATGACGAGACTATACTACTTGTCTGACTACTCATGAAGCTGTACTACTTGTCTGACCACTCATGACGCTGTACTACTTGTCTGACTACAGACGAGGCTACACTACTTGTCTGACTACAGGCGAGGCTACACTACTTGTCTGACGATTGAGGAAACTATACTACTTGTCTTACTACATACAGGATTATGCTACTTGGCTGACTATATGCGAATCTATGCTACTGGACTGACTTTTTCTTTAAGACCTTAAAGTTTACGAACTTGGTAATATTTATAATTTTGCAAATGAAGATTTCGTCGAATTTCGGAAATGATCTCCCGGAACAGAATGTCAGGTTCGAAATTAAAATCGAGAAGGTAATTTAGACGCGAAGGAAAGAAACGCGCCGGCAGCGAGGACAAAAGTTAACGGAGTCGCTGAATTTCGTTTAAATAATTAACGAACTTTCCTCATCGCCAGGCGAGACTCGGCTCTATTAAATTTCTATTCCCGGCCATTTTTCACCGTTCTACGGAGATCCTTTTTTCTCCGGTGAACATCAGACTTCTAATCTGCGAAACGACGCTACGCGCCGCGACGCGAACTTCGCGCATGCTCGCGATTGCACTCGAAGTAGCTCGCGAGAGTTCATTAATTCATTACGGACGAGGAGGCAGCCTCGCGATAAGCTTCCGGCCAACCGTGCGTCCTTCTTTCGCTCGAAACTCCGTGAAACCCTGGGAAAATCTATGGAAACCGACCTCGCGCCGATCCCGGTGTCAATGGAAGTGAAAAACGTATCAAAAGAATACCAACGACCGAAACTCTGCTGCGGCATTTAATGAAACTCCACAATTTATAGAATTTTACAACAACGTTCTATTCTGTATTTACTTTTGTCACTTTAAATATTTAACCACAGAGTACGAGTCTATTTCATCAAACAAATTTCATATCTAAAAAACTATCAATTCTAGAAAATGAATTTCGCGACTAAAATTTAAATTTCAGTTGCACGAAATGAAACTGAATATCCGTTCTATAAAATTGCTGTACCAGTGAAATATATAAAATGAATTTTACATCAAAAATATAAATGTCAATTGTAAAAAATGAATCCACACTTCAAATCTACATTTCAGTTGCATGAAATGAAACTGAATTTTATTTTCATAAAGTTCTAATACCACACTGTCAAATCTATGACATGACGCTCCTTCGCACATGACGCATCGCATATGTGACGCACCTTCACACATGACGCACCACATATGTGACGCACCTTCATATGTGATGCACCTCCACACATGACGCACCTCATATGTGACGCACCTTCACATATCACATATGTGACACACTTTCATATGTGATGCACGTCCACACATGACGCACCTCATATGTGACGCACCATCACACATGACGCACCACATATGTGACGCACCTGGAGACGTGACGCACTCAAACATAAACCCTGACAGATCTTCCTCGAATTTTGAATACTCTTCAATGTAAAATTTAAGTCCAATTATAATTTGCATAGTCAAGAATTGCTGAATACAGAAGTGACATAACATTTCCACTTCTTCCCCTGCGTTAATAATGTAGCTGTTAGTTCCTGACGCACCTGACAACTAAATCATAAGGGTTGAAAGTCCGTAACTGTACTAAAACGTAATTATGTGTCCTGAATACACAATTCCCACAAAATTTCAACTTCTTTCCCCCCTATTAATATTGCAGCAGTAATTGGTTAGTTTCTACCGAAATAAGACAAGGTATCTAACAAACCCAGTAAAATGTAATTGTCCGCAAATAAAATTAATCGCGGTACAACTAAACATCCGTAAGTGGTCAACGGTACTTTTCTACCGTTCTGAGAACGTGTGGTACAATTAGTGTTATGTGTGCGCTGTCTGCGACAGGTAAGGTGAACCTCGCGGGATCTTATGGCTGCGAGGTATCCTCAGAGGCGCCGAGTTTCCAGACGATCTACGGCGAGGCGAACATGAGCGTTGCCATACCTCCGAAGGAACCACCGAGTCTTCATGGTCTTCGACCGTCTTACGAGGCCGGTGAGACTCTGTTCGCTGAGTGCACCTCGGCGCCGAGCTACCCTCCGGCGCTCCTTGCTTTCATCCTCAACGGGAAAGAGGTAAGCCGACTGTTTTATGAGAATGGACGGCTATTAGCGCCTGGAGAGACATTCTCGTGTACCCGTTTCTTTAATATTCTCGATCCGTTTGCTTAATTGCCGTCGCGATTTTTTGCCCCGACTACCTTTCCTGTGCACTTGGAGAATTCACACGGTGCGCTATTTCACTTATGCTCTATTTAACTTTATGTGGATGTTTAAGTGAAGGAAATTAATTAAAGCCTGACATTAAGGACGTGACACGAGAACGTGACTCAACAACGTGACTCAAGAACCTGACTTAAAGACCTGACTCAAAAACCTGACTCAAGGACCTGACTCAAAGACCTGACTCAAAGACCTGACTCAAAGACCTGACCCAAAGACCAGACTCAAGTACATGACTCAAAAACATAACTTAAGAACGTGACTCAAGGATGTGACTCAATTACATGACTCAAGGACGTAACTTAAAGACATGACTCAATGATATGACTCAAGGATGTGACTCAACTACATGACTCAAGAACGTAACTCAAGAACGAGTCTCAAGGACATGACTCAAGGACGTAACTCAAGAACGTGACTCAATTACATGACTCAAGGACGTAACTCAAGAACGTAACTCAATTACACGACTCAAGGACGTAACTCAAGGACATGACTCAAGGACGTAACTCAAGAACGTGACTCAATAACATGTCTCAAGGATATGACTCAAGGACGTGACTCAAGTACGTGACACAATGACGTGTCTCAAGGACGTGACTCAAAGACGTGATACAATGATGTGTCTCAAAGACATGACTTAATGACGTGACACAAGGACATGACACTATGACGTTACTCAAGGACGTGACACAACAACGTGACTCAAGGACCTGACTCAAGGAGGTTATACAAGGACGTGGCTCAAGATGTGATATACCTTGGAACATGACGTACCTTGAGACGTGGCGCACCTTCAGACATGTGTACATGTGTAACACAAGGACGTGACTTAAGGACGTGTTTCAAGGACATGACTTAAGGACGTGACACATGGACATGACTCAAGGACCTGACTCAAGGTCACAACACAATATGTATGACTTTCTATCCTCATTTGATGAAAAGAATCGTTCAAATTGAACAACTAGATAAATAAATAAACAGTACAGCGTCATATAAATGAAATTTATAATATTTTTAAGGAGACGTTGAGAAAAGAATGAATATAAAAAATTTGAGAGGAATGTAACATAAAAATTTGTAGGAATGCGTAACACGAAAAGGGTGTAACGAGTCGGGGAGTTATTGAAAGAATGAAAAAAAGAAGAGAAAGGGTCAAATGTCCATGAATTGCAGATTCGTGGCAAGCAGACGCGAAATTCACGAAACCACTTAGAATGATGCTCGTTTAGTGTTTTCGCGACGGTGCCCTCTATTCGAGACGTCTAAAAACTTCCTCCGAGATAGGAGTTAAAAGTTGAGGATGCTTTTAGAATCGCTTACCGCATTCAGTTCATGCTTTCGTTTCCAAGGTGATGAACACGCCCCGTTGCTTTATTAAATTTACGTCGCACCACCGAAGAACTTAACGATGTAACTGGTAGAATCTCCTTAAATTACGATTCGCCACCGTTTTCTATCTGGCCGTGCATTATTATCGATTCATTCTCTTCCGGTCATCTATTTTCTTAATCTCGATTCAAAGCTTTTCTTCAATTTTTAGGTGAAACTAGTTACTTTCGAAACTAAGAAAGATTTTGGTATTAATTTTTTGTATAGTAACATTTTTGGTTAGAACTTATTTTAACAATTTTGTTACAAATTTAGTAATTTACTTCTGTATGACAAAATATTTTAGATCGTTTGTATGTTACTAGACTCAAATATCTGAAGGTTACTAGATCAAAATATCCCTAGAAATTATTTCAGATCACCACATTCCAACCTTGTGAATTCAGTAAATTGCAATAGAGAAATAAATTACTAGATCTTAAGATCCCAATATCCCTAGGGCTGATTGTTCTAATTTCACTAAATTTCCAGTAACTTATATTTTTGGGTAATATTTCAATATTTCTAGATAACTGGGTCCCTAGATTACAATATTCTCATAATATCCCTAGATCTCTACGTATTGTTATCCTATTGTCACCAGATCTCTACGTATCCATATTCTAATGTCCCTAGATCTGTAGACACTGATATTCTAATATCCCTAGATTTCTGCGTGCTGGAATCCTAATATTCCTAGATCTCTACGTACTGGTATTCCAATGTTCCTAGATTCTTACGAATCGATATCAAAATATCCCTAGATCTCTACGCATTGATACACTAATATCCCTAGATCTCTACGTATTGATATCAAAATGTCCCTAGATATCTACGTGTCAGTATTCCAATGTCCCTAGATTCTGACGAATCGATATCAAAATATCCCTAGATCTCTACGTACTGATACACTAATATCCCTAGATCTCTACGTATTGATATCAAAATGTCCCTAGATATCTACGTATCGGTATTCCAATGTCCCTAGATTCTTACGAATTGATATCAAAATGTCCCTAGATCTCTACGCATTGATACACTAATATCCCTAGATCTCTATGCATCGGCATTCTATTGCCCCTAGATCTCTACGTATAGGTATTCAAATGTCCCTAGATTCTTACGAATCGATATCAAAATATCCCTAGATCTCTACACGCTAATATACTAATATTCTTAGATCTCTACGTGCTGAAATTCTAATGTCCCCAGATCTTTACGTGCTAAAATTCTAATATCCCTAGATCTCTACGTATCGATATACTAATGTCCCTAGATCTCTACATATTGATGTCCTAATACCCCTATACTTCAGATGCAAAAGTCTTGTCACGTTCCAATACAATTAAACCTAAATATCCCCAGGTTTCCTCAGATTTAACCGAACATCAACGTCCTCAAAATAGCAATCTTCCATTGCCCGATTCCCTAGACACTCGCTGCTGTACCCGAAGGGATTATCTCCCGGAGAATCGGATTGCTAAATAAATCAATTAGAAGCGAAACGTTCAGTACAATACCCTAAGCCGTATCTGTCAGTCCATCAAACATAATCCATTACCCTCTTCTCCTGTCGAAACTACGCTCCCAACAAAGGACCATACCGCTTAACAATCGGAGAACTAACCATCTCGCGGTAGCTAGCGGGGAAACTTACAATCGAAACAAGGATCAAGTATATCCTGACCGCTATCGACCGTTCTTCGACAGGTGAACAAAGCGTTGACCAAAGAACTGCCAAGCGGATCGACGTCGGAGGAGAGCATGGTGTCGTCGTCGCGTCTGCGTTTGACGTTACGCTTAGAGCGACATCATTTCCCGGGCGGAACTTTAAGTTTGAGCTGCCAGTCGACGTTGCCAGGAGTCGCAGGCACCAGGCCGTTAGAGAGGACAGAAACCGCGACTTTGGCTGCCAACAATCAAAGACTCGCGCAAGAACCACCGAGATCAGCCGCCGGCTTACACGGACCCTTATCAGCAAACATAGTCTGCATCATGGCCATCCTACGTTCGGCTTCGTTGTGGTAATTTAGCACCTATGCATGTTTAATATTTAACAAAGAATATGGACAAGCTCAAATTGTATCGAATTTCGCTCACGTTTTTGCAGTCGTTATGTTTGCGAGGAGCATTGGCGTAAGTAGGGGAACGCGTTGACTGTTCATGTGTGATCGGTTTTGGTTACATTATTTTTTGAGAAATGTAATTGTACACTTGAGGTTTATGTTGGAACACTGATAATGAGTTAAAAAATTAAGTTATGAAATTGAGTACTCTTGTTCGGATGTCATGTGTGACTGTCACGTGTGAGTCACATATGTGACCGGTATTGCAAGATCAGTTAAATTAATTATTTATGTGAATTATAAATGAAAGGAACAATTGATGTACAGGAATGTAAAGGAACTATGATATACCCTAAAAGTTTAAAAAATTAATTTAGAAGTTTGAGTATTCTTGCTCTTATATCATATGTGACATATGTGACCAGCATACCAAGTTCAGTTAAATGAATTATCTGCAGAAAAAGCAAACTTAACATATGACATTAATGTCGAGACATTGATATACAATGGATCTAACGATGAACTTGAACGGTTAAGTACATTTGTTCATATGTGACATATGTGACATATGTGACATATGTGAAAGGTACTGCGAGTTCAGTTAAATTGACCATATACATATAACATTTTAAAGGACTAATGGATTAAAAATGAGGAATAATAATTAAGTTCTTGTTCGCGTGTCATATGTGTCATATGTGACACATGTGACATATATGGCATATGTGAACAACAGTGCTACTTCAATTAAATACACACAGGACTTCAAAGGATTAATACATTAAAAAATGAAGTTGAATAATTAAGTACTCTTATTTTTATGTCATATGTGACATATATGACATATGTGAGACAGTGATAGATCAAATTGTAAAATTAAGTAACTTTTTAATAATCTATGTTACAGTGTATAACTTTTCACTGTGGCAGTCAACGTGTTAAAATACAAATTAAACCCTATCGGAAACTATTGTGATTAATAAAAAAAATCGTTGTATAAAATTTTAATTTGATTACTTTAATTAAGAAATGATCGTTGGGATAATTAGATAGAACCTAGAAAGAAAGTAGAATATTAAAATGCAGATTACGTGCTACCTCTGCCAAAAACTATTGCAATTAACACAAAACATCAGCATAGAAAATTTTGTTTCAAATTTTTCAATTGAGAAATCGAGGTATGTAGATAGTGGATAGAGAAATGGTAGAACATTGAAATGCAGTTTACATGCTACCTCCATCAGAAACTATTGCAATTAAAAATATTCGTTAGTAAAATTTTGTTTCGACTTAATTGAAGATATAAGTAGACAGAGGATAGGAGTAGATTAAAATGCAGACTATACGCTACCTCTATCAGAAATTGATTAGTAATACTTGGATGCTTAAATTTTGACTTTTTAATTTTCGAAGGTTGATTATTTTGGAAGAGTATCGATAAGAATGCTAAAGATAAATGATCGATCACGCGGTATCGCGTGGTTTGTGAGACAATGGATAAATATTTAGGCATACAACGACCACTTCTTAGTCTAAGTTCGGCAGAAGCCCTAGTTACGCCAATGTGAAATGATTCGAGGGTGATTAGAGTGAAACGAGTAAAATGGTTGCAATGAAAAGAATCGAAGAATTGAATCGCATCGAATTCCATTGCGTATTCAATCGAGGGATGCGTGGAATTCCACTATGTTGAATATCATCGTGTAGAAATGTATTGCTTCGAATTCAGTGAAGTCGAATAATGAATTCCATCGAATTAGGATGCATGGAATTCCAATTTATCGAATTTTAATGTGCTAAATCCCATTATGCCGAATTTCAACTGAGCTGAATTCTGTTACAGTAGATGTAATTACATGAAATTTTATCGTGAGGAATTCTATCGCCTCAAATTCCATTGGGTAGAATTCTATCGCGTGGAAGAGTGAATTCCATCGAATTCCATTGCGTACAATTCTATTACGTCGAATTCTATCACGTGGAACAGTGAATTCCATCGAATTCTATTGCGTGGAATTCCATCGCGTCGAGTACTATTGCATAGAATTCCATCACATGAAATTCTGTCACGTGGAACAGTGAATTCTACTAAATTCCATTGCGTGGAATTCCATCGCGTCGAGTACTATTGCATTGAATTCTATTACGTCGAATTCCATCGCGTTGAACAGTGAATTCCACCGAATTCAATTGCGTGGAATTCCATCGCATCGAGTACTATTGCATAGAATTCCAGCACGTCAAATTCTATCGCGTTGAACAGTAAATTCCACCGAATACCATTGCGTGGAATTCCATCGCGTCGAGTACTATTGCATAGAATTCCATTACGTCGAATTCCATCGCGTTGAACAGTGAATTCCACCGAATTCAATTGCGTGGAATTCCATCGCATCGAGTACTATTGCATAGAATTCCATCACATGAAATTCTGTCACGTGGAACAGTGAATTCTACTAAATTCCATTGCGTGGAATTCCATCGCGTCGAGTACTATTGCATAGAATTCCATGACATCAAATTCTATCGCGTTGAATAGTGAATTCTACCGAATTCCATTGCGTGAAATTCCATCGCGTCGAGTACAATTGCCTGGAATTCCATCGCACGAAATTCTGTCACGTGGAACAGTGAATTCCACGGAATTCTATTGCGTGGAATTCCACCGCATCAAATTCTATCACGTGGAACAGTGAATTCCACGGAATTCTATTGCGTGGAGTTCCATAGCGTCGAGATTGCACAGAATTCCATCACGTTGAACGTGAACTCCATTAAATTCCATTCCGTGGAATTCCATCTCAAATTCCATAACGTGGAATTCCACCGTAATTTCATCGCGTCAGACCACGCATGACATAGAATTCCATTACTCCGAACCGAATTTCCTCGATTTCCATCGCATCCGATTGAATTCAATTCCATCATTGCAATTAATCCGCACCGAATACGTCGAAGAACGAACGTTCGCTCGCTTACTCTAGAAGCACCCTCAGAGCAGAAACGAACGCAGCCACTTGAAATTCAAGCAATTACAATTTAAACTGTAAGCACCAACCGAATTTCCGTTCTCGAAATTTCGTTAAGAAATATACTCGAAAAGCGACTACTCGGTACCAGCAGCGCGTTAATTGCTCGCGAGATATTTCGTAGAGGATTATAATTGTTGCGCACGCGTATGTAATATTCATATACACGTACACACACGAGGCTACAGACACGTATGTATGTATTGTATGTATGTATGTACACGGCAACAAGGCGGCTAGGGTTTATCAACGTGCGAGTGAACAAAGAAGAAACACTATAGCAATATATACATATATATATATATATACAATTTGATTGAAAATCGTGTCGTTAACACGACTCTGTACATAGTGTATGATTGTGAGGTAGATTAACGAGACGGTGTCGTGTGTAATTAAGGATGGGAGGGGTGCGACAAACACGGTGAAAGTAAACGGGGGAAATTCGTTAGAAACCGATGGGATTTACAATCACTGCCGACAAAACGGTCGATTGTTTTACGCGATATGCACGTTATCCACGAAAATTCTGTCGAGTCCGGGAGACACGATTGTACACGAAATCGAACGGGGATACACGTGAACCCGAATTGAAACGGATTCCGAGTTTACGAGATGTCCGCCAATCGACCTGCGTAATTGCGTCTCTCTCTCTCGCCGGAGATCGTTCTTTTTTTTATTTCAGTGGCGTACAAGAATTTATATACATATATAAATATAAATATAAATATATATATACATATACGTATATGTATACACGAGGAATATCGTCGTATTTACGTTTTACTGTAATTTTACATGATCCATATCTGATCGTTACAACACATTTCAAACAATAAAGAGAAACGTCAGGCATACTGCTGTCTTCTTCTTTCGTACCTTTTCATTCATTTTTTACTCCCATGTTTTTATTACAGGTTACAGGGTGCTTTTTATTATGGCAATATTGTTTGATGCAGCTGTCATAACAGATACAGGACTATTCTACTTGTCTTATCACTTATAGGGCTACTCTACTTGTCTGTCTACTCACAGGGTTGTACTACTTGCCTGACTCCTGATGGGGCAATATTATTTGTCTGACCACTGATGGGGCAATACTACTTGTCTGACCACTGATAGAGCTGTTCTACTTGTCTGACCACTTGCAAAGTTGTATTGTTCTGATCACTTGTGAGGTTATACTACTTGTCTGACCACAGAAGAGACAATACTACTTTCTGGCCACTGATGGGGCTATACTACTTGTCTGACAACTTGCAAGGTTGCACAACTTGTCTTCTCACTCGCAAGGTTATACTACTAGTCTAACCACCTGAAGGACAATACTACTTGTCTAACCACTGAAGGGAGAATACTACTTGTTTGGCCACTGATGGAGCTATACTACTTGTCTGACAACTCTCAAGGTTGTACTACTTGTCTTATCACTCGCAAGGTTATATTACTTGTCTAACCACTGAAGGACAATACTACTTGTCTAACCACTGAAGGGTCAATACTACTTGTGTGGCCACTGATGAGACTACACTACTTGTCTGACCACTAATGGGACAATACTACTTGTCTTACTACTGACGAGACCACTCTACTTGTCTGACCAATGACGTGCCTGTGCTACTTGTCTTACCAATGGTGAGACTATACTACTTGGCTGACCACTGACGAGGTTATACTACTTGTCTTACTACATACAGAGTGATACTACTTGGCTGACTGTGCGCGGATCTATGCTACTTGGCTGACTACATACGGGACTATACTACTTGTCTGACTACATACGGGGTCATACTACTTGTCTGACTACATACGAGGCTACACTGCTTGTTTCACTACCTCTTGCAATTTTAATTACAAATCTTCTTTTTTAACCTGCAGGGTACAAAGTGCATATAAAGAAGGACTAAACGTGAATCTCTGATTTATTTTATTTCGGTGGACTTCAAAAATCAGATCTGTAAAATAGTGAAGGATGAAAGGTCCAATGATTTTACTCCCTAGCAACCGTATTGTTCGAAGGGCATAAGTTTGATCACTTCGACAAAAGTTTCTCTATAAAACCTTTGTGTCTTCCACGTGCTATAAACACCACGATCTGAACTCTTATACAACGTTAATCCACTTAACATTTTATGTAACTGTCGGATATACTTCCATTCGGTTTATAGACCTATTATCTGGACTTCGTGTTACGAGCGAGGAACATGAAATACGGTTCTTGATAAATTCTGCCGGTGCACCGTGCACCATAACCATAACATCCTGCCACATTTTCATGCAAAAATTCTCCTCTTCGGACAATGAAACTTGAGTAACCTGAAAACGAAAGAATTTTCAGCGACGCAGTCTCGTTCTGAAGTTCGCGATCTGTCATCGAGTTTAGAAAAGGAATTGCGAAACGGAGAAATGAGTAAGTGTCTCGGGGGACCGCGGCTCGCTATTATTACGTTTTTATCTGTACGAAGTTATGATAAGTCACTTTCAGTGAGCAGAATTTATAACAGTTATTTTGTATTTAGTTTTGCACAGGGGGTTGCATCCCTTATCATTTAAAACTCTAATTTACAAACACAGTTTTATTTATCGGTACAAACTTATGTTAAATTTCTATCAAGGGGTGGAACTTATAGAAGTTATTTTGTATCGAGTTTTGTTCAGAATAAACTTATGTTAAATCTTTCACGGTATATAGTGAAATTAATAGAAATCGTACGTACTTCTCTCAATAGAATGTTGCAAATTTCATCTGTAATACTTCCATTCACTATCTCGAAATTATTTCCAAAACTATCAGAACGATCAAAGTAATATTTTGCTGAGAAATTATTTCATTTGGCGTTCCATGTTAGAGCTCGTCGAGATATAACATGTATATCTTTGAGATTAGGTGCTGCTGTAACGCGTTAATAATAACAGCGATGGCAATGGCACTCTCCTTTTGAAATTGCAATTCCACTAATTCCTCAACA